TATTTGGTATAACTATGTCTATACACCTTTTCATGGCTCCTTTTTTGGCAGCCCAATCTACGATCTCATTGCCCCTAATATCGCAATGTGACGGAATCCATTCAAAAGCAACACAAACATCCTTAAACTGCAAAATATTAATTATGGATAAAATTTCATTTACAATAGCACATCTAATAAAGTATGAATCGATCATTTGTAAAGCTGACAAAGCGTCGCTAAAAATTACCACCGAAGAGGATTCAATAAATGTATTAATCCACTCTAGTGCCATTAGTATGGCCACTAGTTCTGCTCTCATAATACAGACATGGGATAATCTAAAAAATTTCACCACATTATAATGAGACACATAAAATGCGGCTCCTGTCTTCCCATCCTCGAGTTTATAACCATCTGTATATATATGTAAAAACCCATTCCATGAATTTCCAATGCTATCTAGAACAATCGATTTTATTTCAAATGGAGGCATTTCCTTTTTTTGCACTTTGCCATGGTGTTCGAAAGACACTTGTGGTCGTGCTAACCGCCATTCTGGGATTTTCGGCAATAAGTTGGTTTGCCCTTCCACCACTACTTCGTCTCTAAAGGATCGCAGTTTAAAAGGTCCTTCTCCTATCTTCCATTCTAAGTTATTTAAATCATAGTCATCACCCAATACTTCTTTTGTTGGGTGGTTTAAAGTACTAGACAGTAAATAAACTCGAAAGTTATCATTTAACAACCTTCTACGATATCTCAGAGGCAGCTCCCCGGTCAAAACTTGTAAAGCCTCCAAGGACACATTGTGTATTGTGCCTGTAATAATTTTTAAGGTTCTGTATTGGATAGAGTCAAGTTTTTTTGTTAAAGATATACAAGCAGAATCATACATTTCACTCCCATAGTCCAAAATGGATAGGATAAGTCCTTTATAAATCATCATCAAAATCTCATACTTACTTCCCCAGGGGGAAAAGAGCTTTTTGAAATGACTAGTCACTAGAGGGCGGTATTCAATTTGATGACATCATCTGTGAACAACTCTCCATGCCTTTTGTACATAAAATTTCACAATTTTTTTGTTTTCTTCGTATTTATTTGTGTTCTTGATCCGACTTCATAACATGTGAAGTAGAATAGCATTTTGCATTCTATATCTTGCTTTCGGGGGAGTACATTATCTCAATCACAAGAAAGAAGGAAAAACATGAAATTTGATGTACAAAAGGCATGGAGAGTTGTCCTCAGATGATGTCATCAAATTGAATACCGCCCTCTAGTGACTAGTCATTTCAAAAAGCTCTTACTTCCTTATTCCTTGCCCAATTTTGTTCAAATTTTCACAGATATTTTTCAAATCTTTTAAACTTTACAATAAAAGTAACTTAGTATGAAGGTTTTGGTTTCCTTTAATGATGATTGGTGCATAATTTTCATTTTTTTTTTGTTGCAGGTCGGGGCTTACACAATCATGTTTAAGGTGATGTTAATTCCATATTGGCGAGGGAGCGTAGCTAGCGAGCAAACCAAATTTTCTTTGATTAACGTCTGGTACATAATTATCAACTGGTAATTTGTTGTAGGTTGGGTGAGCATGTTTGTTAGCGATGTTAATTGTAAAGACAGCGTAGCAAGAGAGGGTAAAACAAAAAACAAATCAACTCATATATCAATCACTAAAATCAATCAATTCATCAATTCTGGCGAGCGAGGAAACAATATCTCTCAAAATAAAGTTCGGTACTTATTTACTGAGATTTTCGTTGCAGGCAAAGGAGCGCACATATTTTGTTAGGAATGACAATTCCATTTTGGTGAGCGATCATAGCGATGCAAAAAAAAAAATCAATTCTCTTTTAATAGAAATTAATACATAAACTTGTTTTTATTGGTGCAGGTCGGGATGGGCGCAATCGCGTTTAACACGATATCAATTCCTTTTTGGCGAGAGGGCGAAAAAACACTTCCATTTTTAATGATATTGTTGCAGGTCAAGGGTGAGCACAATTGTTTTCAAAGCAATGTCTATTTCATTTATTCGCGAGGGAGCGTAGCGAGCGAGAAAAAATTAATTAGTCTCTTTTAGTAACATTTGGTACATAAACTGGGTGTTATGGTTGCCATGGTTGCAGGTCGGGGCCAGCCGGGGCAGACACAATTGTATTCTAGGCAAGGCTAATCCTTTTTTTTTTCTTCAGGGGGACGAGCAAGTAAAAACAATTAATACAAAATAGGCTAGCAAGCAGCTCGCGCCAGCGAAGAGTGTCGAATTTGTTATATCACTTATATTTTCCTATTTTCATTTGTCTTTTTCTTTGCCGTATGCGGAATATTTTCCTGATGGGGGAGGGGAAAAGATGCATAAAAAGTTTTTGAAAAAACTCAAAAGCAAAAGGAGTGAAGGGAGTTCGAGCGACCAAACTGGTCATGAGGGTACTTTTGCATTTTTCAAAAGTAGAATTGAAGGATTTGGTATGGGCCTTCACTACTTGTGAGATTTGTTAAACATTTTCAGGAAAAAAACTGTACGTTTTCAAAATAGCTGGGGTCAACTGCCCCCCCCCCCCGGTGTGTACGGCCATGGTCTTTTAAAAAATAATTTCCCCATTTTTTTTCTTTGATTTTCTTTTCCCTCTTTCTTCCTTTTCTCTTCTTCTTACTTTTTTTCCTTTTCCTTTTTTCTCTTTCTTTTCTTTTTTTTTTTTTTTATCTCCCCTTTTCCTTTTTTCTCTCCCCTTTTCCTTTTTTGTTTTTCCTTCCTTTCCTTTCTTTTATTTTCTTTCCCCTTTTTTTTCTTTCTCCTTTTTTTTCTCCTTTCCCCTTCCCCCCTTTTCCTTTTTCCCCCCTGGAGCCCGTCAGGGGGGCACTCTGCCCCCCTTGTCCCCCCCCTCAGGTACGCCAGTGCTACTAACGTTAGACCCTAATAATGGATCTAGAAGATTAATTGACCTGGTCTCAGTGACGGGTAAACTTTTTTTTCTCGATTACTTGGTCTAACCATGAAAACCGTCTAATTTTACTTTAGATTTTCAAACAGTAACAGTAACGACCTAAATTAGGCCCAAGGCCAAGGGCTGTACTCTACATTTTAATAACAAATTAACTTTTACGTTAGACTTAACTTAGACTGTTGTTTCTCTGTGATACAAGTGGGAAAAGAACACTTCTTTTTTCAAAAAAGAAAGAAGAAAATTCCCCACACATCAGTGTTTCATAATACTCTGTGTGCAGTGCTATCTCTCTCTCTCTCTCTCTCTCTCTCTCTATATATATATATATATAGGATTTCCCGGCGAAATTCGCGAGTTTGTCATTCGAATTTATTTACTTTGCATTTAAATAAGTTAGCGCAGCTCTGCTTTGCCATACCAATTATCTTTCAATTTTCCCGTTTTGTATTTAATTTACAATTTTGTCAAAGGGTTTCAAAGATCTGTCATTTAATTTAGAAACTGCTCAACTAGCATTCGCATTAATCGACACTTGTCGAGGAGTAATTTTTATCATGTGAATTAACACCTGCCATTCGTATTCGAAATATATTTTTTCAAGTTAGGAATGTTAGGGGAAAGAAATGCAATACACGTTTACAGTTTTGAAATAATGCAACTAAAATGCTTTTTTTTTGCCGTTGGGGTTTATTCTGTTATTCCATTTATTTATTTTCAGGACAATGCATATGATAAGTTTATGATGAAACACGAGACAACCAACTTCCTTGCATAAAATTTTAAAAACATGTTGAGACCATCAAGTCCGTAGATGCAAGTAGTTTTTTATTCTTAACAATCAAACTTAAATGCTGATGAATGTCAGATAAATCTAGTAACTATAAGTGTATACATTTTTTTTATAGAAAATAAAATATGATGAAAATGCACATGAAAAAAATAATCTTGAAAGAAAAAGAAGAAGCTATAAAAAATGTGTAATAAACGAGAAATGTATATTGACCATCATTGTAAGTACACAAAGTGCTAATGTGAATGATATACAGATGAATTAGAATGCTAAAAGTATATCGTACAGCGATGTCAGAAAATCATGTTGCGACAAATCGGATGAACGAATGGCGAAAGAAGCACATTGTTCCTTAATTTGAATGAAACATACATAGATTTTAACGAAAACCGAGATAAACCTGACATCACTAAAACCGTCGAATTTGAACGCAAGACAAATTCATTTTAATGACAAACTTGCGAATTTGGCCGGGAAATCCTATATTGTATATATACACAGTAATATGTTTAAATGGTCATTTTCAGCAAGAATGAGTCATTACGTTATTATTTGATGATTCCAAATCTTATCTAAACAGCTATATAAATACCTTCTACACAATGCTATCAATTCAATTCAATTCAATTTTATTTCGCAATATAAGAATCAAAATATACAAAGTAAAGGTAAATTTTTAACTATGTTTACAAAGGTTATAAGCGGGGCTTTCCATGAAGGTTGCGAAAACCTGTGATGTTGGATCGTCCATTACATAAGTACTCTAACTTTATATGTCTACGGTTTTGCAATTTTACTGCGTTATTGCGATATCCCTCTGTTCATATGATAGTATGATTCATGAACCACAGTTCCAGGTGGGATGTCGTTCGGGGATGTACAACCTATGGAGAGAGAAAAACAAGGACAGGGTATATAATACCCGGCACAGTCGTGTAATACGAGCAAAAGAACAACAATCACCAGTTGTACGCCCCTGTCTTGTACCATGGTAATACCATGGTAATGCAAAAAGGAACCATGGTTAGCACTGTCCCACTAATTTACCATGGTAAAATATTGTTCTACCATGGGTACCATGAATCTCGTTTAATAAGGAAAGAACTGCAACAAACTGATCAAAAAATGACATGACTAAGCATGATCACAAAATTGTCGTTTTGGAGTCGATATGGGGTCCGTTTTATGGTGTGGCTGAGGTATTACTAATTATAATTTACATGTATAACCTTGGCAACTACCCCTGGTGTCTTAACAAAATTCAGGAAGTTCCACACGATTGATAAATTTAAGGCAATTATGTCTTACCAGCCAATGCGAGGATTGCGTCAAGTTGGTCGCGAAGAATCTGAAGTATTCTTGTAACCCCCTCAGGACCCTGTAGGAGCAGACAAGATTCATTGTATGGTGATCGTACTAACTAGCAATGGGTCTCTTATGGGTCATAATAAATCAGAATGCATATGTCAATATTACTCAAAGCTCAGATACTCTCTCATGGATATTAATCTACAATACAGCACTGCACGTTACAGGTCCATGGTCGCGGTTATCATGTGGAATTCGGCACTGTTTAGATGTGAGTTTCATGTGGGCCATGACTTTCACTGCATGCTAGATTATTTTGTACTAAGATAAATTGGTAACGCCCCAGTTTATGTGAAATATGATGCGATGCAAGTGAAAGTAGATGAGAAACTGGATTAGGTGCATGGGGTGCGCTTAGAGGAACCAGCTCCCCTCCCAGCCCGTGTCCATTCCCTCTCAAGGTACACTCTACACTCATGGGCCCCGTTACATGAAACTTACCATTGTTGGGAACTTCCATGGAAACCTTGATTTGAAAGTGCCTATTGAATGATTTCGCAATGGTAGTTATTGATGCCATATCGATGGCAAAGTTACCATCTACCATGCTAAGTTTTAAGCATTTTTGCCCAGGTCACAAAGGTTTTTACCTGACAAGCAAGTCCCCACAGGATCGGTCTGCCTAGGAACACGGCCCTTGCACCTCTTCCAAGAGCCTTGAAGATATCAGTCCCTGTCCTAACTCCTCCGTCCATGTAGACCTCAACTCCTCGACCATGTACAGCCTCGACTACCTCGGCCAATGCATCGATCTGTGGAAAAGGATATAATAATAATAATAATATGTCTTGTTTTCCCAGGGTAGCCTCATCAGTATTCATACTGTTCTCCCTGAGGGCCCTGCAATTATATTATTACATCCATAATAGTGTTAACTCATTGTGTTAGATAGCATCGACATCTCTTGTGCCTCTCCCAAGAGACTTGAAGACAACAGTTCCCGTCCTTACACCATCATCCGTGTATACCTAACTTCTTGACTGAGAACGAGACCTTTACACCCGAGACATCGCCCTGCTTCAAGGGTTAGAGGTTGCACCTGGACCTGTTCTGTGCACTTATATGCCCTGAATGTCCTTAAATGGTGCAAATGAAATGACGCCTTATGTGCAAAATAATGGCTTTTAAAAGACATAGCTCATGACAAGAAAGTAAATAAACAAGAAACAAGACTGTGCTACCATAGACCTCCACAGCCCTCCGTCCGCAAGGTCAAGCACCACAGTGCCCAAGAAACGGAGAGAACTCGATTAATTGCAGAATAGGGACTTCCGATGAAGTTGATTAACTAAAGCATTAGGTTGTAGAGATTTTACACTTTAGTGTAGCTTGGGTGGGACATGGACATTTATACCCTAGTGCTATGAACGCCATCAAAACGAGGTCAAAATTATCAAGGGAAAAGGTTGTATGCGGATTCCTAACCTGATTTTAAAGTTTACTATTGGGTAAAATTGTCTAAAAGATTACTGTCACACAAAGCCAGGGTTCAATTTTCCTTGTTTGATTTGGGCGCTGTGTACATCACTGCTAACACAGGCGAAGAGATTTCGAGGTCTAGTGGATACGCCGTCGGACTATGGATCACATGGTTTGCGGTTCAAGTCCACCGAGGAACTATAACCTCCTTTGGCAAGACATTATTCTACATTTGCCACTCTCCATGTTAAATAGGTACCCAGTAGGATGCGAACGTTAATGTGATTAGGTTGGGATGTGTGCACTTGTAAAATGACGCCTGGCTGGAATACTCCCCAGGGAGAGGATCGTGTGCACTATCATGTGCGTATGAACAAATTTAATCCAATGACCAGGGAGGGGTGATAGTAATGACAAACGTAGTATAAAGCACGATACAAATGTGACTATTAAAATTATTATAGGCATGGATTTACATGTACATACTGGAGCAGGTGAGCTTTCCTGCTGTCTTCCACCGTGTGCTGAAACAAGAATCCCATCCACTCCTGCGCTTGCAGCATCTGAAGCAGATTCAGCTGTACATCAGTGGAGAAAAAAAAAACATTTGAGGCCGTGTCTTAGTTTTGTTCATGCAGATATTAAAACACAACTGCAGAGAATAGCAAACGGAATCACTCTAAATAATATGGTTGTGCGTAATATATTGAAACGTGCGAACATGACGATGCCATGATCCACACATGATTTCAATAGGCAATAATTTACTTTTTAAAAATTGCCTTTCAATTCATTTTTTGAAATTCTTGAAGATTGTGTTATATGAAGAAAAACAGATTATGGTGTATCTTGCATCTTTCATCCTCAACAGTAAACATTGAATGATTTTTGGATATATATTTCATGCATTTGTCAATATGTATGTATTTCTGGGTAACATGATCACAAAGACTTTCACAAAATCAACTTCAACTCCAGGTTAATTTCAATACCCTCTTGGATTGCCTGTGGCAATACGCCAGTGTAATACTCGCACACTCAATGGATGATGATTATGGGTATTGAAATTGACTTGGGCTGATTTTTTTTTATAAAGGGGAAGTCCACCCTGATATTATGGTTTATATAATAGTAGGAAAATGAGAGAAACAAATTGGTGAAAGTCTGAGCGATCCGATGAAAAACAGAAAAGTTATGAATGTGTTATGTTGTCATCAGTGAAACACAAATTGGTAACACTGTGACGAATCTTGCGAGCTCCTCTCCAACTTGGTCTGTACAGAAAAATTCATTTTCTTAGTTATAGATGACGGAATTGATTTTGTTGAAAAAAAGGGCTGTATAAAAACATTTACTTGCAATAATCATGTTTAGGGTCAATGCATGATTGCACATTTTCTTGAGGAAAAATATACCCTTATGTAGATTTTGCATACAAGGCAAATAGCTAGAGGAGACCTTGCAAGATAAATCGAAGAGTTGCCAATGTTTGCTTGATTAATGGAACCTTCAGGAATTAATAACTTTCTCATTCTTAAATGCTTTTTGGTCAAACTTTTACTGACCCGTTTCATGTTTCTGCTTCAATTAATCCAAATTAATATTAGGATGAACTTTCCCTTTAGCATGAACTAATTTCATTAGAATGATTACCTGTTAGTATCCCTTTGCAGACAATGGGCAACGAAGTAACTTTCTTGATCCATCGTATGTATTCCCAAGTGGCTTTTGGATTGTACGTCATCTCATCTACGTACTGGAAGTGGTTTGCATTGCTCTCCTGTTTGGCAGCACGAGCCGATGGAATGTCCGCCTCATAGACAGGCATGCTTTGTACGCAGAAGGAAAAACAAGGAATATTATTGTAAAGATAACAGAATCAAGAATCAAGAGACGCAATACTAAAATTTGTAGAAATTCATCTCAAAGCCTTGTGCCTCATCAATTGACAATGATGCATAATGTAATCCAAACACGATTTCTAATGCGCCTAATTTGATTTGTTGTTATACCTTCAAAACAAAATCTAGCCTCCAAAAAAATGAAGAATTTACTATTGACAATAGCAATGTATTTTTGAAACATTTCACTTTTGACTTAGCCCCATATTCAGTTGTACTGTACATTCCATGATTATATAATCATTAAAAATGGGGCATTATGCAAGGGGGAACAGGCTTTTCAATGATATCGATGTTAAGTGTGATAATATACTACCAAGAGAGATATGCTAAAGATTTAATAACAGAACTCTTTTCGATGAGGAGTTTATATCTGATGATTGTATCAAGGGGATTATTATTAAATCTTACTTTGTTAGACATGATCATGATCAGTAACATAAGGGACAAAACAGCTTAGACTTGCCCACAGATTGAAGATGTTCTACAATTACAGTTAAGATAACAGCAAACGTTAACATACCGATAGGAGGAATGGTTCACCACATGGTCCTTTCCTAAAAGTTCCTCCATGGCACCATGTATGCCTGGCACAGGAGAATCAACGGTTACAACAAGTGCCTTGAATCCCAGTTTCTCTGCCTTGCGGATGGTGTATTCAGTGAGCTGACGATCTGTAAAGGGATAGATGTTCATCCATCGAAGACCTCCTGGTGCAGCCATTGCAATGTCCTCCATTGAAGAGCGTGCACCGCAAGAGAGTACCATCAAGGCCCCTACAGCTTCTGCAGCTGAAGATTCAAATGAAGGAAAACTGCCGTCTGAATTAATCACCCTCTTCATTGACTAAACAAAATAATATTTAAGTCATGCATACCAAGATTCCAAAGGATCAGGTCCATGTTTTTAAAACTTGTTATCAATAACAAGATACAACTTTACAAAATCACGTCTTCCACTCATATAACAAGCTCATTTAGTGATCAAGGATGTAGAAAAGTCGAAATGATTGTGCCGACTATTGTTCGATACAACACGGTGTGTATGTGTGCATGCAAAACAGTAAAGAATTTGTATGTTTAGAAGCAAAAATATGAATGAAATGTAAAGGAAGATAAAGAGAATGAAGAAAGGAAGAACATGGCAAAAGAGAGGGGGAAATCACCCGGATTGCGTGAACGGGAGGCAAGGGCTTTGACCAACATACCAAAATATTTCCCATAGACTTTACATGCAAAGCTGAAAAACGACCTTGGCATAGTCGTAATTTCAACTTTCAATTAAAAATGGTCCCAACATCTGATCAAAAAACAGAATGCACATTACCTATAGCCCATAGTCTCAGCTATAACATACCAACATTTGGGAGAAAATAGAGAAAAACAACCGAGATAATGCTCAAAGAACAATGTCAAGTAGATTCGTGATGTGAACGAAAGTCACCTTCCATAGGCATTAAACGCAAATTAAGAAAATTCTGATGGTCATTTATAAATTAGAAAAAAAAATTAAAACGATACATGAAACGGCAAACAAAAGGATGATATTCTAACGAATTAAATATTGATAAAAAGAGTAGAAAAAGAATAACAGGATAAAAAGTAGGCCTATACAAAGAAGAGAAATGATATTAAAAATAAAAGGAAAAAAGAACGGATAAAAAACAATGTCTCAATAAAGGAAAAAAAATGAACGTTAAAAATAAATCATCTGACATAAAAATTATCTTTAATTTTTTTTTAATTTAAAAAATCGATAGCCCATAATGACAACCACCCCAACCCCTAAAATCCCATGGATGTTAATTTTGACTATAATGACATCATTAAAATGAAAAGTAGTATAATTGATCCTGTAGAAATTGTTTCAGCTATATCACATCGAAATCGGCAGATGATCATCCATCTATGAGTGAGATATTTGTCAAATGAATATAAAAATTAGGATGTCATTTTTATTTTGTTGTTTTGTTCATATGCGAATATGATGACGGCGCGACCAATTAGCCCCCAATTTTATTGATGAATTCCACTCTACACCTTATATACTTTCAGAAAATGAAACCAAATTAATGTGGGGGCCTCCAGCCTTTCTGACGAGCTTCAGCCGGGTTCCAGATAGGAATGTTTTTACCAATTTTTACATTATATTGCCCATTGACGCGCGCACGAATTTAAAGGTTTAACGCGCGCGTATGGCATTATGGAATGTCGAGAATGACTGTAAATAGTTGGAAATTGTCAAGAATAGTGTCAGAAAGAAAAACCATGCGAAAAATGGCGTTTCTACGTTCTGTACGTGCTGCACGCCCGCACGGCGCGCGTACGGGCGCTTACGCACGGATCTTTTTTTGTTTGTAATGCTTGTCCTGAAACGTACTGTTATTTGATTTTAAAAAAATATTTTGAGCATTTTTAAATTTTGACGCGCGCGGAAATTTGTTGACACGTTATGTTTACGCATGACCTCAAATTCATGCACATCAAATGTCATTCAGAAATGACATATGACCATTATTAGAAATTAACAAAATGGCGCCTAGATGACGTCACGCATCAGTAATTAAAAACAATCTCATCGTTAGGCAAAATAACCATGCATGATATATCCAGGTAACAAAATCCATCCAGAAAGAATAGAAGAAATAAAAGAAAAAAAGATTCTGACGAAATCAATAGGTGCTCTGCCATGGCTTCGCGGCAGATCACCTAATAATTATTAATAGCTACAGAAATCCTTGCATTTGATTGGCTGTGAGCAGATGTGTCATAGATCTGTGGCAGATGTTGTTGATAACAAGTTTTATGAAACTGGGCACAGGAATATTTGACCTTGCTATAGAGGAAGAAAAACGTGTCTGCCAAGGGATACATCCGTTTTCAAAGTTTCATCATTCTCATAAAATCATTACATATACATATTTATAACATCCCTGTAAATTTTAGAGCCATGAAATTACAAAAGGAACAAAATATCATCAATATCTAACTACAATTGTGAAGTAGGCAATATTAAATAAATGAAAATATGGTGAGATTTTTTTTAAAAAAGAAAGAAAAAAAAAGGCAAACAGTTATTCCAAAAATCAACCTAATAAAAGGCAATTTCAATAGCATTGTCCATCATACTATATTGAATGAGCAAACGTACGTTGCAACTACCTATCAATGACCATAATCCAAAAATCATTTCCATGGAATATACAATAGTTTCATGAAATTGCCCTCGATGTGATTTTTTAAGTCTTTGTAATTTATTGTGTTATGAATGAAAGATTGATCATATTGGCCATTGCAATCAAGTCTGAAACACTACAACTTTAAACCATTTAGTAGGCCTGAACATGATACCTTTTGCCGTTGCCTCTTCGCCATCAGGATGAGCAAAGAACTGACAGGCTGTCGGTGAAATACAGATCGGATATGGGATGGACTGACCAAGAACTGCTGTTGCTAGACAACGCTTGGAAACATCCTGAAGCACCCGGCTTCTTATTCGATATCTGTTGAAATGACAAAAAACATCATCAGTGAATCATTTGCTAACATGCAGAACAAATAATTGACTTTAATAGACCTACTCATTATTTCCCTTGTAGGCCGAACCATGTTATTGAAAGCTAGTCTATAGTTCGTGGGTAGATGCAGAGGGGTTTGATATACAAAATCATTGAATACTTTCAAAACTGGATTAATCCTACTTCCTGCACTATAAATGGCTTCTCTTACTTGGCAATTTCTTTCCGTACGTCACTCATGCAGTCTGATAATGGCTCTCCAACACATTCATCACTTGATTATATTGTTCAACATGCCAATATGGTATATATATTCGATGAGGAAAGCTCACATTGCAAAACTGATAACTTCAAACATTTAACATACATGTAAAAGAGATAAAGGTACAAAGGTACTTGCAAATGTCTTGATCCCATTCTTTATTATTTTTCCTTTGTCCCCATTTTGTAGTTTCTTCGATAACTACGGTATAAGATTGGTCGCGTTAAAGCCTCACTGCACTACTTGTATCTACTTGCGCCCTCTATACAGCCAACAATGCCTAAGTGGTACCCGTTGATCCCCATGATGCCCTTTTTCTTATGTTAATTGAGAGCTACCAGTGACCTTATGGGGAGGTCTAATCCCTCCATGCCAAACTAGTGCAGAGGGCCTTGTTCATCACCTACTGAAATGTGCAAGCATTACAATGACACATTACATAATCAAACATGCATTCATGAATGGGATATATAAGTCTACAAACTACAATAGGCTATATATTGACATAGCCCTTGAGTTGATTTCTCGAAAGACTTTGCGATCGTGTTTGACATACCTCGAAAATGCCTCAATGCTATCCTGAAAGCACCACTTTCGTCCCCTTCCGTAGTTGAAATACTCCCATGCATCTTTGTCCAGTTTCTCTTTGGCTAGTCGCTCATAGTCGAGCACAGTATACAGCTCCATTTTAAACAAACTAGTGTGAAGACTGAGTTATACCATGGAATGATTATACTTTTTTTACAGAAATGTTTGAGAACCTTGGACTTCAATCTGCTTATTCACTTACAGTTTCCTGTTAATGCCCAGTGACCTCAATTGGTTGCATCGTGTATATGGTATATGCTCCCAACAAAAACAAAATAGAGAGGAAGAGAGAGAGAGAGAGGGGGGGGGAGAGAGAGAGAGGGGGGTAAAGGACAGAGAGAAAGAGAGAGAGAGAGAGAGAGAGAGAGCGAAGGGACAGGAAGTGATATAGCTGAACTTTGCACATTATGAAGTTGATTCTCAAAATATTTTCTTGTGCTAGGTTTTATAACACATCTTTATATACAGTGTAAGTCAAAAAAAAGTTTATACCTAGAAATTTGCTAATTATTTTAAAAATCATCTATGAACAGTAAATTATTATACATCTTATGAAAGAGTATTTTATCCCAAATCATTTGGTATGATTTTTGTGTGGTATGTGTCCACACTTGGATGAACAGGAGGCATTGTTTGCGAGAGTGCAAAAATCGACTTGCGCCAAAGTTGCTTATGTGATGTGATGAATAAAACAATTGGGATTTGGGTATTAATTCGGTCTTTGCAGATCCAAATAATATCCCTACCAAAATTAGTCATGCCACACATATCAAATATCGAATATCAAATATCAACGATCATTTGTGCGTGTGTGTGCGACTTTGCCTCTGCAAAAAGCATATGCAATGCATTTCATTTGATACATTCAACTCATTCTCTCACTTCGCTAATCCGCAACATAATACATACTGTAGGCATCACTTTGGCGCAAGTCGATTTTTGCACTCTCGCAAACAATGCCTCATGTTCATCCAAGCGTGAACACATACCACACAAAAATGATACCAGATGATTTGGGATAAAACACTCTTTCATAAGATGTATAATAATTTACTGTCCATAGATGATTTTAAAAATAATGAGCAATTTTCTAGGTGTCGACTTTTTTTGACTCACACTGTATATACAAGTAAATCTTTGGGACCATCAAACTTGCCTTGGTATATTTTTTTTTAAACATACCTATTGCACATTGCTAACTCCACTACTCAGTGGCGGATCTATGAGGGTGTTAGAGGGTTTACCCCCCCCCCCCCCTTGGCTGCCAAGTGAAAATGTGATGTGCATAGAAAAACGCCATCATGTGTTCAGACCCACACGGTATCCGCATCGTCATCGCTTTTGTGGTCTCCATTAGTAGATGCCAGAAAAACATCACTTACGGGGGTTCAAAATAGCACCAAAAAAGAATAGCATGATATAACTTTTAAATAAAGTCGTTTGGGAACATTTTGTCCTCGCTTAAACGAGAAAGGACGAATATCCATGTTCAATTGCGTTCACAAATCTTACCACGTAATAAACTTTCAAGATGCCAAATATGGTGAGGAAATGACTTTAAATTGAAGACCTGAAACAAGTGTTGAATATTTTATGAAATGGCATGTAGATGATAACTTTGCTATTGCGAGAAATAATTAGCAAATTTATTGGCCCGTATTCTGAAGTCGTGTCTAACTTAGCCACGACTAAAGTTAAACAACTGTTTAGTTAGACAAGACTTAAACAGGACTTAGACGCGAGGTCGTGTCTAAGTCCTGTCTAACTAAATTTCGTATTCTGAAGTCGTGTCTAAGTCTCGTCTAACTAAACAACTGTTTAAGTCCTGTCTAAGTGGTGTTTAACTAAACAACTGTTTAAGTTCTGCGCAGGTCGTGTTTAACTTTAGTCGCGACTTCTGCGCATGCCCAGTAGGCATTCATTCTGACATTCCTGCAGACGACAGACCGGGTGCGCATGCGTGCGCGCACCGGATAAAAAAAATTAACCCGCACAGTGCTAGTGCAATTATGATCGTGATTACTGGCGCTCAATACAAACTATATCAGTGCGTCAAATACTCATTAATTAACGTTGATCGAGACCTTGCTAGTAAAATGGACGGTAAAAATGTGAAAAGAAAGGCAAATTGGGATGGGGCAGAGAAGTCCCATCTGCTAAGTCTGTTGGCTGGCGATGGAATCATCGAGGTAGTTGAAGTGAAAAACAATAATTATGCAGCTACGTCAGCGAAGAAAGTGGCTTGGAGTAGGATCTTGGCGGACTTCTCTTCAAGGTATGTCATGATATGAACTATTAATGTTACTAAAATTTAATCGACTAGATCAAACATTTAATAACATTGTTGAATTCAATTGCGGTTCTGCTTGAATATAATAATCTAGGCTAATTTGCAGCAGCTACTCATAATAATATTAGTGGATGCCATCATATATAAACAACGGCTTTATTTGTTGTATTGTATTGTTATTAGATACGGCGAGAAACGAGATGAGAGGGAGCTCAAAGATCAGTGGCGGCGGATGAAGCTGCAGGCGAAGGCAGAATGGTCATCTTTCAGATCGCAAACGGGGAAGACGGGCGGAGGTCCTCCGCCAGCCGAGCCGTCCATGATGGCGAAGGAGGTCAAACGTCTCGTGCCCACAGAGTTCAGTGAAATAAGGAATCCGTTTGACGACGACTGCTACATCACGGGGAACAACCCCGAAGCCGTGACAGCAGAACTCTTCATCGCCGGGGAGAAACGCCCATCGCTGAAGTAAACAAACCTTTCATAAGTTTCCAAATATAGTTTTACCTGTGCATGTGTGTACGTGTGCTCTTGTGGACCACATCTAACCGATTACCAACGCATGTACACACATCTTCTAAGTGATGACACACATGGAACCGATGACGGCATCGGTTGTTAAGAGAGCGTGGAATAGGCTCTGCCGCCCTCATCTTACCCGGCAAATATGTCGGATAAGCAATCCAAAGTATGTCATCGTTTGCATAGTATAATGACAAAAATATGGGTGTCGCACGTTTTGCAGAAATATGAAGAGCGCCATCTTGTCAATACACTCGATACGATCAAGGCCCGGCCCCCCCACTCAGTGTTATTTAGGGTACGCATATGCTCGTACCCTTTTTTTGAAAGCACCCCCTATCTGAGGACTGCCAACATTTCCGAACCCTCCTTTCGCGGGCTTTTCGCGTGCTTTTCCTGCCTTGGAGACCCCCCTAAATCAGGAAAAATGCTCAATGTACCCCCCTAAATTCGGAATAATTTCTCAGGAGTCCAAAGAGATGAGAGAAAAAAAGAAAAACACCCCCTTTTTAAAGAAATCTCCGGGTGAAAAGTCAAATACACCCCTTTTTTTACAATTCTCGGGCCGGACTTTGTCGCACGAAAAGTACCCCTCACCGGACATTTTGGCAACACGCATGCGGTCATTTCGACCTCTGAGGGGGGGCCGGGGATCAAGGTCGGTAGTTGTACGATGGCATACACGTGTCGCGCGTCTCGACAGTGCGCGCGACCTTCGCCAGCTGGCCTTGCATATACATGTATTCACACGCGCGTCTCGACAGTGCGCGCGACCTTCACCAGCTGGCCTTGCATAAACATGTACATAATTCGTATGTATTCACATTGCATGCAGCAAATCCGTCGAGGTATGTCACCATGTCATGGCCAGACTCATTGGTAAGCAAAAGTGGGTAATATGGGGGCTTGCAAAATAACAGCTAAATAGCTTGTATGGACATAATAAATGCAATTTTGTACGGCTCCGAATCGAGACATCGCAGGACGTATTTTGCTCGCGGGCCCTAGCTAGGTCTAGTAGTAGTAGCTGCCGACACTTCGGCAGGGTATGCTCCCCGGCGCCCGTTTAAATCACGAGATAGATCTAACTGTTAGTGTTAGATCTAGCCCTAGATGAAGATGATCGAGTGGAATTAATGTACAATAACTGCTGCACCATAACATAGATGGGACTTATTTGTATAGTTACTTACCATTTTGTTCAAAATTATAATTTAATTCTGATACCCGTAGATTTAGGCCTAACAAGTTAGAATCTAGAAATTAAAATTTAGAAATAGTCTAGTCTAGGGTCTATAGAGTCTAGGCCTAGTAGATCTAGGCCTAAAGTAAGGTCTAGTAAAGTTAGAGTCTAGTAGAGTAACTTAAGATCTACAGTAGATTTCGAGATCGAGATAGGTCTAGAGTAGAGATCATTCATTGGTCATAAGTTGTGTTCAAAATAGCTGCCAATTTCATTTTGCCTCAATCAGGGTCAATTAATAAAGTATCGAATCCTGAAGCATAGATCTAGATCTACCCTGGATGCAGGGGCGGCGGAGCGTCTTCCACAAAAGGCGGGGGGTAGGGGGGCACCTACAAAGGGAAATGAGCAAAATGTTAAGATTTGTTAGGTTCCAGTGAAAAGAATTACATCTTATAAAGAAGGAAGGGAAAAAAATGATGGGTATTAAGCAAAAATGAATGAAGAAAGAGTGAAAAGTTCTTTCATTAGTATAGATCTAGATCTACTTATATCATCTATAAATGGGAGTGAGAGTAGCGAGCAAGCTCTTGAGAAAATTAAAGAAAAAGGGGCTCTAAATCACCTTGAACTAGTAGGGGTGCATGTTATAAAGAAAGGAAAAGTAGGCACTTATCAAAAGGGAAAAGAAGGTGCTCGTGTCAAAGTAAAGGGCAATTATCAGAGGTGAAAATAGCACTTCTTGCACCTAGTGAAAAGGCACAATCAACAGGTCCTTGTGATAAAGGAAATGGAGAATCTGTTGAAGGAAGAGGGCACCTATCAGATGTACTAGGGGCATTTATCAGATTTTAAAAGGGGCATTTTGATAAGGGGAGGGGCTCATATAAAAAAAAGAAAAGGGGCATTTATCCTAAGGAAAGATGGTGCTTATAAGAAAGGGAAAGGGGCATGTGTCAAAATAAAAGAGGCACTTATCAGAGGTGAAAAGGGGCATTTAAGAGAAAGGGAAGGGGGTTCTTATTAAGAAGGAAAGAGTACACTAATTAAAAAGGAAAAGGGAACGAGTCAAAATAAAAAGGGCAAAAATATCAGATATGAAAAGGGAAATTTTTCGCACCTGAAAAGACGTACTCACCAAAAAAAGAGAGGAAAAGGGGCACTTGATCTATGTAAAAATGGGCTTTTGGGGAGTACCTGAAAAAGTGGGGGCACAATGCCCCCCACTGGGAGGGTGCCTCTGGCATAATGGGCAAACATAAGAGAAAAACCCGGAAAATTGTGTCATTGCAGCAACATTTGTATATCACTGGTATTGAATTAGAAATAAACCACGTTTGAATTTTATTTGGGGGGTCAACTGCCTCCCCCCCCCCCATCAGTACACCAGTGTGTGCATGTATACAATGAACTGACTGATTGCATTTGTGGGAATTATCTTTTTTTCACAGGAGATGACTTCACAAATGAAAAGACAAAGGCCATCACGATCACGTGTGTCACCATTACAATTGGCTAAGATATACTGCAATAGTGGATGTGATCAGGAAGGCTTTGAGAAACATTACATTGATAACACTATAGGTAGGATGTTTTAGAATTGTGGTCTTTTACCTTAGACAGTAATGTACATGTAAATTGACTTGATAATAGAGAGCTGGAATGACCATTGTCTGACTTGTAGTAGAATTAAAGGGAATGTGCACGTAGAATGGATTCTAACTATAGGGCCAAGTCATATTACAGTTAACCAACCGTTAAATGAACACCAAAAGCAAAACCAGCTAGAATGTCATGGTTTTGTTTAGCCAGTTTTAATCAAGATACAATCATTTTAACCATTACTTCATATAACCACCCCCCCCCCCCAAAAAAAAAAAAAAAAAAAAAAAAATATATATATATATATATATAGCTTATTTGTTGATATTACACCTGTTAATAACAAAAACAATTATAATATTTAACACAAATAGTATTCATCCAGACCGGGATACAAAATTTGGTTGCTGTGAGAATTAGCCATGAGCCATGAAAATCAATCCTTTCCAATTATTGCTGGTTTGGGGGTGGGACGGAATTGGTTGTAAAATCCAAAAACTCAGTGCTACCTAATCACTATAGATATTGACAATGGAGAATTTATATTCAAGTTTTAGTACTGACCTAGCTCTTATTTAAAACATTAATAAGCGATGGGATGACTTTAAACAAAACAATTCCAAGTGATTAAGCCATTGTCATGATTGTGTCCATTGTCCATTCTTTCAAAATACTTCTTTTTCCCACTTCTGAACAGATTTGTATTTGTGTTAAATATAACTGTTATTGCTATAAATGGGGGATTCAAATCTTTTAGACCAGTAGAATTTTAAAATTATGCATGTGAATACATTTTTCGTGTTTTGCTTTGCAATATTTCAGGTTATGGTCTCTATGCAACTCGACCCTTTCCAAAGGGAAGTTTCTTGCTGGAATACAGGGGAAATGTTGTTCAAGCTGCTAAAGAGGTTGGAGAGAACATGGACTATGTCTTCTACTATAAGCACAATGGTCTTGATTACAGGTATTTACGATAAATATTGTTTCAGCATCAGAATAATGTCAATTATTATATATATATATATATGATAAACCCATAATGTAGAATCTACAGCTGTATCACACAGCTTTTGTGGAGAATGATTTGATCCCGTGCACAACATACACAATAATCCATTCAATTTTAATTAAAATCATTGATTTTTCTGATTAAGTTATTCTCTCATATATATATATGTAGAGAGAGAGAGAGAGAGAAGGGTTTGTAAAAGTACTTGTATTAAATAGGTTACTATGCAGTTAACAGTACCAGTTCTGTAACTATTTAGACCAATCAAGAAACATTGGTATTTGTTCTAATTGAGAATGAATGTTATATAAAATTATCTAAATAACGATTGTGCCTGAGATATATATTACAGATCACATCATCTTCAACAGGGTAAGTGGCACAAACTGAATATTCATTCTTGTGACTGTCATACAAGCCTACTTTTGTTGTCCTTATCTTGAATCTTAATTAAGAATAGGCGTGTAATCTACAAAAACATGTAGTGCTACTTGAACTTTTTGGATACCCAATAACATGTGTAAATCAATCTGTAGGAAGCATAATCTGCAGTAACTTTAATAGTCTTGAATAATATATGCACATGTACTAGTAGCCAGTATGCAGAAAATTATATTGCATTTTTGATTGCTTGAAAAAGAAATAAAAGAGAGAAAGAAAGTTGCAAAAAGGGATTCTTGGTTCTGCCATAACGTGTTATTGTGCAGTTGGGTTTAGACAGTCACTTTTGAGGTGTAGTATCTTCAGAACCTTTGATCATTTCTCTAGCTAGGCTGATCTGTGGTTGTTCCAAACTCACACGGATCACCCCAGTTTTAAGAAATCTACATTGGCTACCAGTACGCCAGAGAATAACATTCACAATCTTGCTGATTGTATATAAAGCACTTCTTGGTCAAGCTCCCACATATATCAAAGAACAGTTGAATTTCAAACTTAATCAACACAATCGCAACTTGCGCAATTCCCAAGATACTTTGTTGCTGCAGGTCCCTTCTATCAAAACAAAAATAACGCTAGGTGATCGAGCATTTGCCTGTGCAGCCCCAAAACTCTGGAATAACTTGCCATTCGAAGTCAGGAAATCACCATCTGTAAATATTTTAAATCAAAACTGAAAACACATCTTTTTAAATACATGTAAATCTAAGCATAC